CTCCAACTCGACTGTTTAGTGTCTGGTTTTGCACCAAACACTGTGTTTTGCCTTGGAGGTGCAGGATGCCTTGTGAGGCATCCCCACACTCACCGGCCATGGCCAGAGGCCACCGACTGGTATTTTGTTGCTGTCGGCAATATATATTGCCGCGTCGGCACTATTTGTTGCCGGTCGGCGGACACTCATTTTTGTCAAAATGGCAATTTTGAGTAGCCGATTACTGTTCATCTACTTATGTAAATATTTTGTGCCAGCTGTGATAGCTGGCACCAACTCTGCTTCCCTCCATACACGTGTATGGAGGGATTTCCCTCTAAGCAAGCTTGTTTGGTAGCTTGAAGGGGGATTTCTATAAGAGAGCCCTTCTCTCCCTTGCTTGGGGTTTAGAATTTTGGAGAGAAAAACACAGAGAAAGCTTTGGTTTTAGGGTTAGGGTTCATACATATCTCCTATCTCTCTTTTTCTCTCTTTGTGTTCTAGGTGTTTTTAGTCCATACTGTTGCACACAAACACCTAGTGTTTCACCTTCCTTTGGCTACTGAGGTTCTGAGGGGCTGGTTTTGGTGTTTTGGAGTTGGATTCAAGCCAAGGAGGGCTGTTGGAGCATCATTTGTGAAGGTGATCTACAAGGGTGAGAAACTTCCCTTTTATCCCCATTTTTGCATTGCTTTTCTACCTATCTTAGAGCTGTTTTCGTGCTTATTGTATAATACAAAAAAATTCTGTTTTTAGCCCTTTTGATTGTTATTAAGAGTGTTTTGTGGTTTGGGTTTGTTTGACCCCTCCTAAGCCTTGTAAGGCTCCTTTTTGTGCTATTTTTGTGCAAGTTTCGAGACTTTGGTGTTTGGCCTCTTCAAGAGATTTCAGTGGCGGAGATGGTGCCTTGAAGTCTCCAAAAGGGGAGGGCACCCCTCTCCTTGTTTGTCCTTGAAAGGGACCCTTTTTGGCCTCTTGCGGGAGCATCATGTTAGAGTGTGTATTGATCATGTCTTTGTTGTTTTCATGCTTATTATGCCATGATATAACCTGTTGTGTGTTGGTTTTGGTACACCATGCATACTTAGCATACCTACCAAGTAATGCCTGTTATGCCTTATATGCCTTATGCCTTAGCGTTGTTAGCCTTTATCTAGCATGTTTTAGGTCTGTCCATAGTTGTTTGGGTTGATCTTGGCATGCGTAGTATAGCTCCTTTATATTTGAGCTTGTATGCTTCAAGTATGTGAATGTGTAGTATGTGTTGCTTGCATCATTTCCGTGGTTTGGAACCACCCTACATGTTATTTCAGTCCCTTTGACATGCTCATATGTTTGCCTTGGATGCCTCTTTGAAGCTTTGGAAGCTTGCCTTGCATGCTCCATGTTTTAGCATTTATGCATGCCTTTTAAATTCAAACCATCTAGATGCTATCTAGTTGGTCTTTTGGCTTAGTTTCATGTGTTAAAACTCTGTTTTTGGTTGCCTAAGTCCTGCCATGTGTGTTGTACTAAGTGTAGTCCATTGCCTCTTTGGTGAGCCTTGAATGCTTGGACCATTGTTGCATGTTTAGCTTGCCTTGTTGCTTGGTTTGGCACCATGTTTTAACATGATTTTCAGAGCTTATGTTGCATGCTAATTGTCCATGATATCCCTTTTCAAGTGTGCCTTAGAGTTGCTTATTTAATGCCTAAGTGTTGTCCAACTTACTTGCATGTGTGTATGTATGTTTTGATCCCAATTCCTGGTTTTTGGCCACGTGTTTAGGCCTATTTAGAGTTGCGTAAATCATGTCTAAGTCCACCTTTCATCAGTTTGCATTGCCTCATGTTTGCTTGTATGCTTGCATAAGTGTCTTGCTATGCCATGTTGCATCCTAGCTTGCATACCTAGGTTGCATTGCATCTTGCATGCATGCCTTGTTCCTTGACTTGGTGATAGGAATTGGGCCTTGGTTCGTTTGTTTGGTTTGCATTTCATTTGACATGAAAGTTGTACACTTGATTCTTTGGGCCATCATGCATGGAAATGCGTGATTGGCGGTCGAGAATCGAGACACATGCCGTTTTGAGTCACAAACATGATAGGGGACATGATTGGTGCATACATTGCTTGAATTGTATTGCCATGCAAGTTCTGTCCTCTGCTGCTGTTGAGTTGCAGGTTCTGCAGGCATTCTTTGCCGACCGGCAGTATACATTGCCGACCGGCAGTAAATCACCAGCCGATGGATTCATTTTGTGCGCGTGACCACAATTCACTGCCGGTGGTAGTTCTACTCAGCCGGTGGTGATTCCCAGTATCCAGAGAAGCATCCTTGAGACTTTGGCAGTCTTCAGAGAGACAGAGCAGGGAAAACAGAGGCAGACTATGCATGGCCGTGCACTTCCGAGCAGGACCCGAGCATGCGCTGCATTTGGCTCTCTTCCCGAGGCGGTTTACTGCTTTCCTAGTTTAAATTAGTTGTTAACTGATTAGGCAATTTGTAATATTTAATTAGCTTGCCGTAGTTAATTAATTTGTATTATTTATTTGGTCCCTCCGGGCGAGGCAAATCTTAATAAGTGTTGTGT